GACATTGATTGCGAGGCCAGAGAGGGGGGGGGAGGGCAAGGAAAGAAGAATTTTCCGTGCCCTCCCCACCCCACTTACACTTAATCAAACGCGGCAGACTCAACTAAGGGCCTGTTTAAGTGGAGGTGGGAGAACCCAGGTAGGTGAAGTAACCCGCCTAGCCGTGGTCAAAAAATAAAATGCGTTTACATGCAATCTTACAACCCCGGGGTGCTGGGGTGAGGTTTCTTGAGGTTGTTGTTGCGCTTGGTCGCATGGTCGATTTACAACGCTAAATATTCCGAAATGTGGATATTTTGCACTCCTTGTGTGTCCGTTGCGGTTTCTTGTGATTTCTGCCATGAGAAGGCTAGAAAATGTACAAAGTTTTAAAACATGCACGTTTCGCTTTTGAGCTTTTTTGCCATGAACGCGACCCCGGTTAGGCGGGTTACCTCACCTTGACAGGTTTATTTTTTCTTTTTCGTTCCTTTACATTTCTCGTCACCAAGGATCCTGCATTCTTAAATAGTTAGCTGAGCGTGCAAACAAAACCCCGTGCTGAATATGTGACGTATTAGCCGGCTAGTGGCTGGTGTCGTCAATGAATATTCATCAGAAATGGTAGAATTTTCAGTAAACCACGCTTTCCACAGGAGAGAGAAGATGTGCTTTCCCTATTGGAAGAACGAAGGTGCATTGACGGTAAAGAAGAGCAACGGAAAACTGTCTTATTGCACTCTGACAGAAGGTGAGAAATCATTTCGAAGATATTGTCTTGAACTCTTTGTGAGAAGCTTGGCTAGTCGCAACAACTCAGTCAAACAAGTCAACACGTGTCAAATGTTTTATACAAGTAGCTCTTCAAATTTAAGTTTGAATCACCGAAGATGTCGGCCTCTGCAGAAGCAGATCCTATGGCTGTAAACATTTTAACTAAAAAGTCTTTACCATCTAATGTTTGGACGCTAAGATATAGAATCTTTTTGTGCTAGATTTATTCGCGAGGTCATTAACGCGGCCACGTGAACTTTTCAAGACCTCTCTAATGAATCCGTCCCCTAAAGTTTTCAAAGAGCAGTCCTCATTTCTATTCTTCATGAAGATTAAAAATAGTAAGCACTCCACTGAACACTTAAACATTCTAAATACGTTTAGCCACCATTTTTTAATTAATTTGTTGTGATGTAGATTGTTATACAAATCTTGAGCGACCGGATCGTATGACTTTTGAAGTTCACTACCAGCTTTAATTTGGAATAAATAATTTCACAGGAAACTTTGGTTATATACTGAGCAATAGTATCAATTGGAGATCATTTGTAGACGAAGTACTTATAAAAACTGAAACTAGAGTTGTTGATTTGGTAAGACTGGTCGCTCATTTTTGGTTTGCTTAACAGCTAGTATCACATTGTTACCTCAGTTGATGTCGCAGAGGATGCGAATTTTCAAGATGGCACTGCACCAAAATGTATTTGGCGAGGTAAAAGATTCAAAATCCTATCGTGCTGTAATTAGAATCAAATTCTTACAATTACTCATACGTACAAACCCTACACTACGCAATGTTTGAAATACAGCACTAATTCTTTTCAACAACTGACTTCAGAAAGCTGGCTAACTGAAATATAACAGGCCCTTCTAAAACTAGGGACGTCATAATTTTTTCAGTAACTTTTATAACACCAAAAGCTACCACAAACGACGTTAACACGGCCAAGGAAACATACGCTACGACTCACCTTCACCGACAGATTAGAGCTAACTTATCACAACTTGACGAACGCAACTCGAATCTGACAGCCGGTAACATCAAAGGAAAAAAAGCACTTCGAGGCTTTTAAGAACAAACTGATTTGATTGATACTTCACTATAGTCGAAAGCTGCATCAATGAGTTATGTTCGTTAAACATAGAAGTATTTCAAGTCAAAAGTGAAACAAAATCCAGTTTAGTGCCATCTTAAAATTTGTATTTGCTGCATCGCCCCATCAACCGAGGTCGGTTGCACGAGGACATTGGCTTCAATGTTGCGACCAGATTTCAGAATTATTCGGGTTATTGCACACTGTTTGGTCTAATCATTTTTTTCTCTCTTTTATTGTGACGTTGCAGCCAATGTCTTCTTGTCGTTTTTGGAAGCTATATTTTTAAATTCAAATGCCTGGTTGTTCTTTAAAAAATTTGACTAAAATAAAATGGATTTATACATAAACCAGTTCAAGTGGATTCCTGTTACTGAAGAAGGACGATAGATTTTTACATTTCAAAGATATTGCATTCTTCGGTAAATCTTTTCCCAAATCGTGCAATATTAGCCAGCAGTTAAAAGCAAACTTATCTTTCGATATATCATTTCTGTACGTGAGCAAGTCGATATGAAATCTCAGTCGTCCTTTCAAAGAAAGGTAAACAAGAAAAAATTGAATTATCATAGAATTTAAGATGCTGCATTTTCTCACAAACCATGTGAATTGCCATTAAATTGAACGAACAATGATTTGGTGACAAACTTATCTGGTAAAAGTTAGTGAGGAAAACCTCTGCAGGAGCTCATTGTATTTTCCTATTTTTTAAAAACTTCGTCTCAAAGCAGAATTTCATCTTAAAATAGGCGTTTAATATTGATGCCTATCTCCAATTGGCTGTGTTACTTTGGATATACTAAGTAGCAAAAGTACACGAATTTCTTTTGACAAAGTTTTTGGGATGAAATAAATTCTCTTTGCAATCTTGTCTTCAGCTATATTTTGTTAAAAGTTTCCCTTTTTATGAAGACGAATGGAGAAATTTTTAAAAACTAACAACGTATTTGTCCGGTTTGTGAAGAAAGCACGTGAATTTTGCAAAACGTGACAATCAAAAATGCAAATATTACATTGCTTCACCTTGTCCGTGGGTCGACTAAATTGTAGCATTGAAACGGTTATCTTTTTCAATTGCTGGTTTATGTAGCGATTTCTCTCTCAAGTCATACATTTAGGTTGGTTGGCAGGTATCTTTATTTACCCCTTGTACCAGGCATTTGGTTTTAAAATGTAAAGTAGATTATTTACCTTTAAGTAGAAGAAAGATCTTTGTGCTATCATTCGATGTAACACAGGAAAAAATATTTTGTAAAAATCTAGTGGTTTTTTATCTTCAAATTACTCAATTGAGCTATAGTGAAACAGAATTGGAAATTGTTTGTTTCGTTCATGAAAGAACGTGGAGTTTGATTGCAGCCGAATTAAGATATATAAAAATTCTTTAAGGAATTCAAACAAATGTTTGACGTTTTTCCCCAGCAAAATCACAATCCCTCGATTTGATTGAATGAAGAATTTGAAGTTCGAATTGTAAGCCCCAACTTGATATTACTTTGATTCTCAAATTGCTTCAATGCACTTGAAGTCTAATTGGAGAATTTTTACAGCTCTAGTGGCTAAGAATATATAACTTCCGAGATTGTGTTTAAAAATTTATAAATCCATCCAGAAAATTGTTAAATACGAACTACAACTTGAAACTCCTCCATCGGTAAAAAAATTATGAATAGTTTTATACGCTTTCAATCTGAAATTTTTGTCCTGTGTTACATTCAAGAACAGACTGCTTTAAAGATCTTTTGATTAGAAAAAGCGTTATGGCAAATTATGAGCAAAAAAATAAACTACAAACTTGGATATTAAAATTCAAGCAGTAAATTCTGATTTATTTTGCCATAATGCTTTTTAGTTTAAAACATTATCTCGTGCAAAAAAAACAGAAGTCAAAAGTAACTAAGCAAAATTCTTTGGAACTTTTTACAAGTAAAAGAGGAATTGGAGTTTAAATTTAAATTTTTCTTTGCACGAAATGCTGTTTGAATAATTATTGGCGGTAGATTTGAAACGAAACCTCGTTAAAATTTTTGCCAGAAAAGTTGCTAGGGGAAACGCTGTGCAAATCTATTCAAATTTTCCCGCCAAAAGTCTTAGTATATATAGGGAAGATTTTTCTAGACACCTTTTTAATCAATTTCATTGAATATTACTTAATTAACTTACAACTCATAAACTGATTTGCTAAGTGAAACACTCGTGATTTATTGAAAGACAATAAAAGATTACAACCAAAAAAATTAACCCTTTATTGACTTGTTTGTAATAAAATAATAATACAGCGAGTGAATAATAAACTTTATTTTCCATTGAATATACTTAATGCTTTACATTAAAAAAAAAAGAAACGGCGCATGCGTATTTTTTCTAAGTCTTTTGGCGGGAAAATTGACCGCATTTGAACATATTTTTACTTACAGAATTAATAGACAAAATTTGCGCCTGCCTTATGAAAAGCACCTTTTTTTTAAGTTTCAGGAGGGAAAACTCAACTGTTCCAGGGCCTAACCATATATTTTTTGGGCAAGTCCAACAAAATCGCGAGATAACATTCGGACTAGTGGCTTCAAGCCCTCTATTTTGGCGAATAAATTGTAGTATTCAGGACAGGAATGTGCTTCATTTGTTTTTTACCTCTAACTAAGTCTCGCCTTTACTTGAAAAATATTCGTGAGACATTAGAGCTTTTTACCCGTCAGTCTGCAAGGAAACCAATAAAACAAAATTAGCAAATGTAATGTAATTCGAGCAATAATTATTGAGTTTATAAGGCACCCAGCAAACAAACAAAAACAAAGGTATACAAGCGTCAATCAGACTTGTTGGTCATTGTGAGACGAGCTTAATTAAATCAGTATTTTGATTCTTATATTAAGTATTAAGTAATGATCAGTTGAAGGGGACGCTATCAATTCGATAAAATCGCTATTTGTATTACCAATCACCATTCTGAAAAACTCGAGGAGTTTGCTATTGCCGAAATGGCGTTACAATTATTTATTTCTTTGCGGCAAGATTTCTGCACAGCTCCGTACTTTATTGTGCACACAGTACAAAGAAAAATGGCAAAAGTTATGAATTGCCCATGGAACTACGGATTTGTTGTAGAAAAGTATGGAATTGTAAGAAAATCTTTTCATTTCAGTTTTACCCTTCACGTCAATAGGGTTTTTGAAATTCTCTTCTGAGTTGACAGGTTATAATTGTCTTTTTTTTTAGCAACTACAAACAATCGCTCTCAGTGCCCTACAGCAAATTTCTCTAAGATCATGGCGGAATTCAAATAGATTTTTTGGGACAAATGAAGTCTCTGTAGGTGTCAAGTATATTCCCTATTGTTTGCTGTGCCTATTTAATCTCTCACTCGGCGATATGCTGTACCCTTGTCAACATTTTCCTCGAAAGAGCTCACACATTTACGCAGTCTACAGGTCATGTCTAAGAAAGACGTGCATGAAATGCAAAAAATAAAAACTGACGATTATTTGAATAACAAACATAGTGTAATCGCCGGCGATAATCAACAATCAAAAGTTTTTAAACTATTTATGACAAAATTTGTTTATTAAAACGTTCACCCATAGACAACTTTGCAAATATTTGTTTCTTTGGAGTTTCCTACGAGACGTTTTCGCGGGAAATTTATATCTTTCAAAAAAACGTACATTGCTTTGTTGTCACTCCATTGCTTGGAAACGAATGTATAATCGGTTCCTCAAAGTTTGGATTAAAAAGGCAGAATACGGTTTATAGTGGTTCTATGGTGAGCAAGCTTATCTCTAGGTGAGCAATCTTTTAAAAAAATTTTTCCACCGACGTTTATACTTCTACGACCTTATTCAAAACACTTTTCACTAGACTTTTGAAGGACAAAAGATCTTTAAAGCAGCCAATTTCATAAATGCAACTCGGGAAAGACAGCCGAGAAGCACGAAAGAACTTATCCTGTATATAAATTGCCTCGAAAAAGAATCATCAACCGCTCTGGAGCAAACGGTTACTTAGGGTCATTTTCCTGATTAAATATAGAAATACTATCCGAGATTTATTAATCAGTTTTTCGCACAGTTTAAGAAATATCAACTTAAGTCGGATTATGCTCTGAGATTCTGGTTTGAGTCTAAAAGGTTAGGACATTCAGTAATTTTGCCTACATTTAATTATAAAAATGAGCACGAGAAAGGGCTGTCTCAGTTGATTATTAACTCTAAGAATCATTTTAGAAACAAATATCTATTTTTGGAACGTGATTGTACTCTCTAAGTTTGAAGAACCCTAAAAATCAGTAGAAATGACTGTGTGATCAAATGGTTTTCACGGAAATTAGGTGAAAATGTTGCAATTATTACAAGACCATTTCACTTTTCATAGCAGTATTCCACGAAGAAATGAGAGCTACCTATTTTTTTTGGAACATTCTCAATTTGGTGTCAGCCTTAAACGTTAAGATATTTTAAGATTAAGCTCCATGTGGCATTGAATTATTTTCTTAAAAAATTAGAGGTCCTAGAAAGGTTAAAAAAAATTGAGAAAATTGGAGTTTTTGGAACAAATTCATCCTTTTCACTCCCAGGTTCGCGGTAGAAATTCTCCATACTGTCTGTCATATAGTTCTTATGATGTGAATTCAGAGAATTTGGTATTGGATCAACTAATTATCCCTTAGTTGATATTTCACTTAATTCCAATCACTTGTCTATCTGCTTGATATTGTATTGATATTCTAAGGAGAAATCTTGCCTTCATCTCTTTATCTCTAACGGGAGTTAGAAATTTAAATTGTTTCACGCGTCAAGAGCTGATGCATTCGGAGATTTGGCTTCAATGTCTTGAAAAGCAAGAAAGCTAATAAGTGTTTTTTAACTTGTCGGAATTCGAAACATTAGTTATAGAAACAATTTGGGAAAGGCGATTTGAAGCATGCTCTATGTGTCCTGTTTTAACGTCATTTTAAGCGTTAACGTCTTTCTAATATCAAACAATCAAATCCATTACTGAAAGAGTACTCATTTCGAACAAAATTGATTATAACGGTAATGATAGTAATAATGTCAACGGACCTTACAACGAATCAGAGAAGAAAATATGAATTCTAGAAGCCCAAAGGTTCTATAAGGTTTTATTCTACTGAATTGAGTAAAAGATTCGATATCAGTTATAGAAAAAAAATTGCTATCAATCAGATGCCTCAATACTTTCGAACATCTTCTGATATTAATATCAACAAAACATGTTACCATGGTAGCGGAATACCTTATAAGCGAGCCCCCCGGCTTAATATCTGCTACAGGTGCATGCTGGTATCTTGAAAGTGAATAACCTCGGCGAATCTTATTTATTTTCCCTCAACAGTTTGTTGTTTACTATGATCGACTTGTTAAGATATAACCTCCTTCAAAATATCAAAACAAAAATTGGAGAAAAAAATTAACTGGATGCCGCTTCATCTCACGTAAATCGCTATTCATTCATCTGCGATGAACACTGCTGTACAACATTTGCGGTTCTTAACGATAGCCAGAATTTATTGCAAAAGTTCTTTAAAACATCTCCCCTTAAAACGCCCTTTTGACAGCTTGTGTAAAGTGTCAAATCTGCGTCCATTTCATGCACGAGTTCTCGTTTAAATATAATCTAGAAAAAAGTATTTCTCCTATTTTTATTTATCCTTTTTCAAAAAATCTCGCCCACAGCATAATTTTTTTCTAAAGTTTAACTGATATCCTGACTAAACTGACGAAACTCACTTTAAAAAAAACGACCTGGTCAGAAACCGAATTCTCGAAACAAAATAAATACTCTACTTCCGATTCCTCCGAAATTAGAAACTCCTGAAAAGGCTGTCACACCTCGTGAACTCAATTTGCTTATAGAATTTTGTTCAAAGATTACTTTGGAGTTTGCAACTAATCTGCGAAAATTTAATCACGTCGTTACTTTGTCCACTTTATAGCCTGATTAAAGCAAAAAGAATTTTGGGTATACGTCAAGACTCCACCCCTAAGGAACAGCAGCCACATACACATATAAACAAACCTATTTTGAAAAAAATTGATTTCTGTAGCTTACCTTGACATGATTATTTGCTTTCGTCCTTTCCCATCCATTTCTCAGCTTTATTTAACCCAAGTGATAGATCTGCACGAAACAAAATTAGCAGTATTAGTTCTCGTTGTTTCTTAAACTGTGCGTGAATAATTCAAACAGCTATTTGATTATTTAATGTGTCAGAGAAACTCGATCCACTGACTGACAGCAGCGGCTAAATAAATTCAAATATCTTAAGCGGCCATTCAACAAGAATTGCTCTTGGTTTTTGTTGTGAGTTTTAACTCGGTTTGAATTTGCCGCCAAGCGAAGAATTTACCATTTCATAAAATCTCTGCACGGTTTGGGCGAACTAACACGATTCAAGGACGAATTTGTCCTTAAAACTGTTCTAAGAAGGAGATCTGTGAGTAAAATTGCTTACCGAGAAATAGCTCCACACAATTGTACCGTTCATTTACAGTTCTCAGCTACATAAAGCACGCTGTACAACAATGTACAACGAAAGCTCACTCACTCTCACCTCGTGCTCTGTCGTGTAATTCTTTATAATGAGCTTCCGAAAGTCCTCAAAAACGAAGCATCTCCAAATTGTGCCCATTCCGTTTATATTTTTTTGTATTTTCTCTTCGAAGTGCGGCAGTTCAGACCACGAGGAACGGTACAGAAAAATGCAAATGAACTGTAAGATTTACACGTGCATATTCAATCTCGCGGCTGAACCCTAAAAATGATTGGTGTCAATTAGCCTAGCGAAGTGTCATGTGTTGAAATTGAATTTTATAAAAAGCTTTATACATAATTCTTCTGATAGCGACCTGTCGGATTTTTATATCACTTTTTAAATCAAAGTAGATTTGTAGGGTGGCTAAGGAAAAAGGACGAAGCAGTTTCAAGAACAAATTTTTGAGCAGGTAGAGCGGCAAAAGAGAAAATATATAAAGAGGGTGAGCATAATATTTACTTCGAAGGGCAAACGACAAAAATTGAAGCGTCTTTCATCTTCTTTCGATCATTTTCTCAATGAGCTAAAAGTATTTGAATCATAGCCTCATAAGAAGCGCGGGAAACTTGGGCAAGCTTCGTAGCAGTGTTGATAATTAAGTCTCATGGAGGGGCGATGGGGGGTCAGTTACAGCCATTGGCGTCCCCAGAGCCACTCATGACTGAAAGGAACGAGGAATCTGGGTACGAGAATGAGTTACAATAGCTATGAGAGTGACATCAAGTTGCACAAACCAGACAGCTTACAAAACAAAATCATGAAGCTTGAACGTGTTTTAAACGATGACTTTATTGGCTTACTGAAACGACCAAAACAAATAGTGAATGTCAAACAGGTCATTGTTAACAATTTTCACATACATTTTAGTCGTAAACATTTTCCTATACAGACGATGACACACGTATGGATTCTCTTATAAATATACATTTGATGAAGGCTTTCATATTGTCGACTGTATTCTGTGAACGACATATAACTATTTCACAGAGTTACGTCTTTGCTAAAGATTTTTAATCATGATATTGGGAAGACCATTTCGCCTCCTCTTCCAGGAGCCAAGTTCTTTGGATTCCAGTCTGAGGTATTTAAGCCATCTCCGATAATCTCTGCTTGAAGAAGCTCTGAATCTGTATGTCTCTTTACCCATCAACACAATTTCGAATGTGTCCTTTAGCTCTGCATCAATAAAGAGATATTTGCAGCCAGTTAGTTTTTAATTATGAATCGATGTTTGTGAGAGAACGATTGAGTGTTGCCAAACAGAAACCAAAGTAATCTCAACGGCCAAGCAGAATATGAGAAAATACTCTCAGAACTAAAAGAAAAAACGAGCAAACCGTCTAAAGCGCGAGAAAGCGCGGGCGGCCAAGTCATGATTGGGTTAAGTTTTGCATCTGATTGATTGAGACAGTGTCGCGAGTTTTCTGTACCAACCGTATAAGTAAGGCAAAACCAACACAATCTTGGATCATTTTCGACACTCAATTGAAAAGCGCATCGTTAACGTATTCGTATAATTTAATGCGTGGGATATGAGTTATGGCAAAGGTTAACGCGCTAAACTCCATGTTGAAAGGAATGGGTTCGAGTCCTGAGTGAGTATCGTGTTCATTCTCTCACGAATCATCTCTCCTTTCAATCGGGATCATTTATGGGTCCCGGAAAACTGACATGGAAACATTACGAAAGACGGTTGAGTGATCAAAATTTACAATTTCTCTGGTCAATGCTTCACAAACCGGAATAAACGATGGTAGTTATGCGAATCATTCTCAAAGCAAGCCTACGCATTGCCAACCTACGGTTTGAACTTACCACATTCCTTGTAAATCACGCACATATCCAGAAACAATGGTTCCTGCAGGCAGAAAAAATCCCAAAAAATAATCAATCAGCACTGTTTAAAAAAAAATCAACAGAAGAATGGAACTGGAAAACGCAGCTGGATCCTGCAAATATCATAGTTAAACCTCTCAGTTATTACAGAGGGGAGTCGTAGCCTTCTTGAGAAGCGTGGAAAAATTTGGGCAAGGGTCAAACTTGTCTCGGTTGATAGCGATGCTGATTGGCTGATTGTGAAAAGTTATCTTAACTGTGTTGTCATGAGTCACTCTGGTAAACAAATTAAACCTACAGCCAAGGACCCTAAAGGAGCATCTTTCTGAACCCTAGAAGGGTCTTTAGGACATGGTTATATTCCTGAAAAATAAAAGTGTTTCACTTGCTCTCAAAATTGCTTCATACCTTAAATAAAGTGTATTTCCCACTCATCTTCTTTCTAAGGAGAACCACAGCAGCATCGGTCACCTCCCCCTCCCCGGGGAACAAAAGATCCTCACACTCCCCCTCATCGTCTGAGTCAATTCGCACAAACTGTGGAGAAGCAGAGAAAAGGATTAATTTTCCCACACGATTCTACGAGCGAGGAGGGGAATTGAAAACAAAGTTGTGCCATGGCGTAAAGAGGCTGGGACGAGACCACGCCTTCATTCATCTCAATATCCTCTTATCCCAATCTCTTCTCGTTCTAACTCTTCTTGTACAAAATCTCTAACTTTATATGGTATGGTAGCTATTCAAAGGGGACTGAGAGGGAGTCACTCTAAGGAACCCTTAAAGAAGGGTTTTTTCTAATATTTTTGTTCGTTTTCTACCACGTTCCTAATTTGTGTGAATTCCTTGACGTTGTGAAAGAACAATTGTTTAAAAGAGGTCAAGTCTGTACTTGAGCCAAGTTTCCCACCCAGCTAGAGCTTATCCCGGTTTCCTTAGCATGAAGTGACTAGAAATATCACTACTCCCCCCTGGATGGGATGTCTGTCCCCTCCGGAGTCTAGCTCACAGACCATTTGGCCACAGCATCTTCCGCAATCATTATTATAGTAAAGTAGAAAACCATGGGGACCGAGACTCCATAAATGATTATAGGTTTAATCCCCTTACCCAAGATCATCTTAAAAAATTCAAGCTACGTTTTCTTAGGTAGCCAACATGCTATGCAGGGCCTGAAATGAAGATGTTAAAATATATGACACGAGCCCGCAATTTCTATGTGAAAAGACTGGGATTAGGGAAATATATCTTTAGGTGAATAAAGGGATAGAGATTTAACTCATACAAACCTCTGAATGACCTCTTACGCAGAACAGCGCGCATACTGAAAGGGCTTTCTTGCTACTGCGCCTGTTCCAGCTCGCGCCAAACTCGTGTATAGTGATCTGGGAGAGAGCAAAAACATAGTTGCGCGAGGGAAATGAACTATTGTGCTATATGCTATATGCTATATGCTCAGCTCCAAGAAATCACATGATTCTTTTTTAACAAGGTATATTAAAATTTGATTGCTGCATTTCATTATTACTTTCCACGATCAGTTGAAAGTACAACGAACGAATTCTCTAAGGGAAGTTTTTTTTTTACTGAACTCGGCATCCAGGTGGAACACATTTGGATGTAGTGTGGACAAATGTTTGTTTTTACAGGTCCCAATATAACTTACATCACTTAGAATAAAATTTTTACTTTCCCATTTGTTTTTCATCTATGAGATTCAAGCTTTTGAAGTACCTACTTCATTTATGAGACACTAACTCCCATGATCTACTTACTGACTCTCCCCACCAGATAATTAAAATCTAAATGCGAATGCCAAAGAGAATTTGATGCTACATCAAGATAACACCATTTAACTGATGAGTTTGTCAGTTCTCGACACCTGTTTGTGGAATAAAGCACTGATAGAGTAAGGAGAAAATACTTTTTGATTATTAGCGAGAGTCAATTCACCTGGAAGACACCGTGCATAAGCAACTGCATTTCCTCCATTGTCCAGTTCAGAATATCGGACGCCATTTTCTTCATTTGTAATTTATCTAGCGAGTCGGACCGGCCAAGTTGTTGACTCGCCCGATATCGCTTTTGTCGAGATTCAACAGCTGTGTTCAACTGTAGAGAAAGAAGAATCGATGATTTTATCATGTGACCACACGACCTCGCTCACCATCATAAAAATCGATGTATATTGATCCGAACGAGTTTACGCGGGCCGTGGAGGCCCGTTACTCGAAAGCCCCGGTAACTTAACGTACCCGGAGCAATATTTTAATATTAAAATTTCAAAAAGAGAGAAACTGGTTCTAGCACCTAAGGTACTCTATTCTGTTTCTTTAAATAAAAGTGTTTTTTCATAATTGTATTTCAAAGTTTTTGTATCCCTGGCCATCTTGAATGAAAACAGAACAATCCTACTAGCGGCAATAAGCTGCCGGAACCTTCGAGAAACAGCCCCCGCTCCAGAAGAAGCAGTCCGGGACTGCACTAGCAAGACTCTGTTGCCTTTTCGGCGAGAATGTGAATTCTGATCGTGGACCTATTTTAAAATGAAAAAGAAGTGAAGCAATAAGTTCCCTTTTTGGACGAGTTTCTCTGTTTTTGTCAGACGTTTATTCAGTTATGTATGTAATCGCGTCTTATTTTAGATTTTCTTATAGCGGAATGTTTATGTAATCATATTATGATAAGCCATGAATCGATTTGTTTCAATCCAGCTCTCTTACAAGACAATAAGCGCATAAACTACAATTTTTAAAAGTGGTCTTCGGACTTGGTCCGCGAGTCAAGTTGGTGTGATGAGGAATAAATCTTATCGCACGCTTCTGTTTGTTCGCCTACCGCGTTGATTTTATTTAGCTGCTCTTCAATTCTTCTTTGCGCCATTTTGAGTTTCTCTCGGTCTTGATTCCTTCGTGGAGTGGCCTTACAAATTCTACTCAGCAACAGGGGATATCTGAAATACAACCCGTATGATTGTTTATTCCTCGCTGCAGATTTCAGGCTATATGCGGTCAAACTGGTATCTTATAGGGATAGGTCAAATAGTAGTAACGTAGATCTTGTTTGAGATTGACTTGTTGCCTGACTGAATGCAAACATGCCTGATTGGAGGAATGAATAAGTGACTAGGTGCCTCACTGCTCAATTGACCGACTGACTGATTGAATGACTGATCTGGCGACTGAAAGACTAACAGACGGACGAGTTGAGATAAGGACAAAAGAGATGACGAACTGACGAGCTGACCAACTGACGAGCAGACCAACTGACTGACTACCTGCCTATCAGGCCACCTGACAGACTGACAGCCTGACTGACTACATGAAGGGATGACGGACCGACGGACCGACAGACTGACGGATTGAGGGGAGGGCGAAATGACTGACGAACTGACGGACTGAAGGGATGAATGACTGACTGACTGATTAACTGAAATACGTAAGTACTATCGAATTGACTGACCCAAATATAGACAAAATTAACCGTCTGCCTGATTGACTTGCCAGCTAATCTTACTTACTAACTTACTTCATGATTCGTTGTACCGGAGCGAGGATAAATGAGTTCAAGTCCATTTTGCGACACTTTGGATTTTCACGACATGTTACCTTAAAATGAACAATAAGCAAGTAAAATGATTAAATCTCACGAGAAAAATGGAAGACTGATTGATTTTCGGGCTAACTACTTTAAAAAATAATAAAACTTAATTTTACTTTATGAAGGTCAAGTTACCACTCACATTCAGGAATATTCTTAGCAGCTCCGTTTTCTTCTGAAGAGATTCAAGCAACGCAGAGGCGGCGGTCTAATAAAAGAGAGAAATATCAGAACCAGAATGAAATGACTTTTAAAAACGCAGAATTTATACCTTTGTCTTGTTAATAAAACGTTGGATACACGAGGACACTCTACCTGTTTTGAACAGTAAATTTCGTAGGCTTGAAAGAAATCTACGCTCTCCAAGAAAATGCTTCCAACGTTGACGTTAGAAAATTCCTAGATGAAACAAAAACAGAA